CCTGGGTAACATATGAAGTGGATAAAAAGTTGACAGTGGTAATCCCATCCTGTCCAGATGGAAAGCATCTATTGCCAAAGCCCAAAGATGAGGTACTGGAGACCAAATTGCGAGTAGTTTGGTGATCCAATCAGTGCCCAACCCACCAATTAGAGTTGCAAAATGAGAGGTAATCCAACTGAACCTTGCAATACAACATCTATTTTGTTGAAAGAATCTGTTTGGACCTTCAATCCCATGCATCACCCATGGAAAATGGCAAGCTAGAATGGTGATAAGACTAGTCCCAAGAAAGGAGGTCCAAAATTCGTAAATAAGAAAAACATAAGACACCACCACAGAATAGTCAGAGTGAAGTCTGAAGATTTATCCTTTAAGAAGCCCAGACCATAAGGCATTGCCTGTTGAAGAGCAAGAGGGACAAAAACATTGCATCAGGAATCCTCGTCATCCATGCATCGACTCTGGAAGTCCTGACTGGTGGAAAATGCACCCCATCCCTGAAGCAAGGCATTTGTAAAGAGAATGGAATTCTGTACAAGGTGGCAGTAGAGGAACTCAAGTTGTATCTGAAAGTAGAATAAGGATGTGATGGTCTAACAATTGATGAGATAGTGCCAGCAGTAACCAGTCATCTGTGGAATGGTGTGTTCACAATACGATGGAATGAAGGGATGAAAGGATAAAAAAAAAACTTGTACAACACAGCAGAACCATGTGAAGCCTATGCAACTCTGAAGGAAAAAACCTGGAACTGCAGTACCTGACCCTTGTGCACCACAGACACTGATAGTGGTGGGACGACAGCACTATGGCAATGTGCTGATAGGAGCTGACTACAAGCAAATTGGACAGCTACAATCCCAGTAAAAAAACAACACAGATTGAGGAATGAGAAACTTGTTGTTACGTATTAGAATTTCAAATAGTCCGAAGCCAAGTTAACTGATACTTTAAATTTAGTATTTGAATAAATGCTGATATTTTGTCAGTTTATGATATTTGCCAACAAGATTCATACACAGTTTTCTTTTTTTAACACAAATATGTTTTAATATACACACAACAGTATAATTTACAATAACAGTTATTACAAATAGTTATTAAAACAATGATTTATAAACAGAAGTTTCACAAACAATATAAAGTTTTCTTTACAGTTTGGAACTTCCTTGATATCTTATCGGGGGTTTACGAGTTGATGTAGATACGATTCGCTGGGAAGCTAGCTAGCTTTGTCCTTTGCCACACACACTGAGTTTTTCTCCTTCGTTATTTAATGGTCACGCACGCTGAGTCTTCCGTGGTGAATTTATATAACGTTTTCGTAAAAATACTAATGTTCGATGAAAATCCACTGACATTAAATGATTTTCAATGTTCGAACTCCATAAATGCTCCTGGTCAAATATCTCAAGTTTTCTGATTGATAAGTGTTATAACAATCACAGTTATAGCTTCCAAAGTTGTATATCACACTAATTATAGCGAACTAATAACATATACTCTCTTTTGGCATTTCGCGTTGGCTGTATTTATTGCCATGGGAAGGTTTTCTAGAAAATTCAGATTACATAATACTGAGCTACATTTAAGCGTCTACATATATTGTTAATTCTTACTCTCAAGAATCTTCTACAACGTTGGAGAATAGGCGGGAGTTTCGCAATACATATCTAACACTCAATCCAAACAAGCGTTGACATTAAAATAAATATATAACAACAAATTTGTTACATTTGTGAACCTAGTAGAATCTAGACATTGATACAGGCAAGGAATATTGATGACTGGACACCAATCTCCTGTTAGAATAGGCCCCACAACTTACAGGAATAAAACTCTGAAGAACTAGCTCAACTCTCTCACTACCCTCAGACCAACCAGACTCAGATAAGCCCTAGAATTAAGTCCCAAATCCTGATGACCTATGGGAGATGGAAACCCTACAGGTTGGGTGGATAATAATGAGAAGATGTGAATTGTGACCCAAGGACCTGTAGATCTCCTGGACCCATGGTTAAGGTTTACCACTTGTCCAGAAGTTCTTGGAACCGAGCCTCCACAGCCCCTGAAGGTATACAATAATCACCCATGCTGCTGGCAATCCAACTAAGCAGTGGAAACCTTGGATATAGACAGAATCTATTCTGAGAACCATTGTACAGAGGGGCTGATGTCAGGGGTCAGGACTCGCAAATAAGGGTGGAACTATGACCCCCCTGTAGGAGCCGATGAAATTTGAGACTCCAACAATAAATGGGGGGGGGGGGGGGGAATGTAGAAGCTGAAAATGAAACTAATATGCATGTGAACAATGGATCCAGCTTGTCATCAATGAAGTTGGAGATCCTGAGAGTCTTCTAACAAAGGGAAGTGAAAGGAAATAAAATGCTGAATTTGAGTTGACAGCACGACAGTAAAACATGGGCTATTGTGACTTGAGTGTCAGAAATGCCGCACATAGGTGGATTATTCCCAGATAAAAGAAAATGATGGGTTAAAAACTGTGACCAATGCGTAGCCTAGCCAAGACAACTTCTCCTTTTGACCTTTACGGAAACAAGACGGCCAAAGAACAACAGAAGGTTTGATCTGAAAAAGCTTATGACGTTGCTCACTCCAAATAGACTGCCAACTGGCCTGAAGCCATATATGGGACAGGCACAGTTTATTAACTTTCTGGATATGAATCTTCGTTGTACAGAAGTTTATTTGGTAACTTAATATAAATTAGCAAAATGATCTACAAGTTAATAAAAAATATAAGCAAAAAACAATGTATCTGTAATGGTTTTAGACCACAAAATCATAAATTGATGGTAAGAAAACCTGAAATGTTGATTTAGATTCAAGGTACACTACCCTTTATACTGGAATAAAATAACAATGTTGGGTTATCTGGTATGAGATAATTGACAATATTTTTCATTGGAATTGAGCACATCCATTTAAAAGTTTTCCTCCCAAATGTGATTTTAGGAGCATTCAACACCAGGCATGTTAGTTTCAAGCTCCACTATCTTTTATTATCATTGTCCTTCTATAGTCTGCATTACAGTTTTTTACTAGCATTACAGAAGTTAACTGAAGAGACAGAATATCCTCAATGATTTTTGGGTGATATTCCCATTTTTACAGCTATGCTCCAAGTAGATCAACTCCCCCCCCCTCCAAAAAAACAACACTCATATAGATTGATTTCTAAATGGAGACTGCTGATGATCTCAATAAAGATGTTTTAATTATGTGATAATAAATGTCCCATTTATTTTACCTATTTGATTTTAAATATCAATTACATTTGAGTATAATTATAAGAAAAATTAAATAAACTGTCAGTTGTCCACTTTTGCACAAACACACACATTGATTCTACATACAAGTTTATGTACACACAGTTTGTACTTACTAGCTAACTTTTAAGTATTCTCAACTAAAATCTTAAAAAAATTAAAACATTCAGTTCTTTCAGATATTTGTTTGCAATTCTTTATATAATTCATATGAATATTGGCAAAGGATAGTTTTAAAAAACGTTTATACATCTCAAATAATATGTTAAAGTCAAGAGAAATTACTGTAAAAAATCTAATTAATAAATTAATGTTGGGGTATAAAGAAATTTATGTTTTTGTGGAAAGCTAAATACAAATACAAAACAGTCTAGAAAAAATAAATTACAATTTAAAAATCTACAAGACTTGTCAAACATAAAAGGGTGAATAAATTTTACTATACACAAGTAATAATAAATAATTTATAAAACATTAGATTTTTCATATACAAAAATATATATCTTGATTGTACAATTAATCAACCTTATAACATCAAATTTTGTGGTTGTTAGTTTTATATTTTATTCAATTAGACACTACAACCTACTGTGTTTTATTAACCAATAAAAAACAGACTATTTTTACATTACTTACACTCCCATGAACCACAAGTTTCCAAAAAAAAAGGTGCAATTATACGAGAATTAAAATAATCTATTTCAATTGCAGTGATAAAAACACATGCTGTGAACTAAAATAACTCCTTTTCAACAACAAATAACCACCTTTTCGCATTAAACAATGTTTTTCAAGGACTACGATGAAAACAAATTAACATCACACCTAAAAAAGGAAAGAAAAATACCACAAGAAGAAGATAATTTTACAGTACCTCTAATTGACAAACCATCTCCAAGAAAATAAAAACCATAATCAAGAAATCTGAACTACCTAATCAAGTAACAGAACGATTAGGTCCAATTCTCAAGTCAACTTTCAAAATCTCAGTACACTACCCTTCAGTGTAACAAAGTCAACTGTCTTTCAAAAATGTGTTTGCAATTTAAAGATGGGTGTCTTGCTTCCAATATTGCTTACTAACTTACATGAACATCTGCCATCACACCTACATTGGTGAATATAGAAAAACCCTAAACACAAGGATAGTAGATCACCTTTGCTCTTTTTTACAAACTACAGCATGAAATAAATTTAGTTGTAGGTTATCTTTAAACTAACCAAGGTCAATGAACAACGGGCATAAATCCATCCCTCAGTTCAAATCCCTACCACATTCACCAACAGAAAATTTAAAGAATTTCTCCTTATCCAACAACTGTGACCACAGATGAATAGGGACAAAGGATAGCACTTTATATATATAGACTTATCTTTGTGTTTTTCATAATAATGTACTGCTTTTCAATTTTTTCTTTTAATCTTAACTTTCATTCCTACAATCTTTATTTTCAAATCAGATACACTATATAATTTCTTATATAAACCAATGGAAGCTTTGTATTGTCAATTATGGTTTGTCTTTTAGAGGAGTGCTTCTGAAAAAGCTATAAAGTCTAATTAAAAGATATATAAATAAGTAACAAAATTTGGTGTTATAAGGTTGTTTATTTCTAGAATTAATGTCTTTTATACTCCAGCATGTAATACAAAAATTAAAAAAATAATAATCTACAAATTTTCAAGAAAATAGCTGGAACTCACGTCCTTCAGTTTCATCCAAGATGATATTTTTAGGAGATATAGGTCGACTGAGTTCTTCACAGACTTCTGGAGTAGAAGGAAGACTTCCTACTCTTGACTCTGCAAGCTAAAATATCAGTGTATTATCTGGGATGTTTTTAAACACTTCTCCAGCAAATGTTAAGTTTTGAGTGATTTTTAAATATACAGCATTGGTGATAAAAAAATTATGTGAACTTATACTAAAAAAAAATCTAAAAGCAAAATATGATGATTATTTTATTTAAACAAGTAAATTTTTTGTGACTCGTACAGATAAAAATTCCTTTTCAAAAATATTCCCAAACTTTTATATGTACAAAACATGAAACTAAGACCAAGAAGAGTTGCAATAATGTTTATCAAATTTTTTACAGCTTTAACCATTCTTTTATTTCTTCCATCTTTAAGATATTAATTCCTAATCTATCAATCACACATGGCTTTTCTGCAACCTCTCTACCTGTAGATTGTAAAAAAAATACCCTTTACTATTAACCACCGTAAAAAACAATAACTTGGGAATAGAGTAATTGAAATTTTATGTACCAGTGACCCACCTGCTGCCGTTGACGATTCCTTGGTAAACCATGTGTTCGTTTAGGTTTAACAGATATTCTGTGATGTGCAGCTTTGTGACTCAGAGGCACTGGTTGAGTAACATCTGTGTTACCATCTAAAGAAAGACAAAAATTCAGGTACATTGAGTGCAAGTTTTTTCCAATAAAACTGACAAGAAAATGATTATTCATTCCAACTACATTAAACAAGATTAAATAATACTACGGTTTGTAAATGAAAGATAAATGTTTTTCTAGGCACTAATCAGAGTTAAATATTTTTGATGGTTAAGAACTGTGAATAAAGCATGACTAGATATTATGTTGACTGAAGCAGATGCACTGTGAAAGATTAAATATTTTTCTTAGCTAAGAACAATGCATTACACAGGGTTAAATAATATTTTTCACCAAAGCCTGTAAATTAAATAAAGCTACATATAATGGTTGTTGAGAACTATACATTAACCAGGGCTAAACATTATTGTTGGTTGAGAACAGTGCATCAGGAAGTGCTACATATTATTGCTGACCGAGATCTGTACTAATCTGATAAGATTTCTTACTGGTCATACCTGCAGTTCACAGCAAGAAAGTGTATCAAATTTTTTATGTGAATTGATAAACTTTTTTTTTAAACAAAGGGTAAAATTTTTTAAACAAATAGTAAATAGCTACTAAATTACGTTTCTAGTAATTTTTTCAAAGCCCGTTCCCTTGGCTGTGGTTTCGCTAGATATTAGATACAATAAACTTTACTGTATACACCTTATCTTGGATTGCAATTTGGAAGTGTGCATATATGCTAATAACTGGCTAAATTTTAGAATAACCATTTACTTTTTTCCACATTTATTCAAATCTAGCAAAACGCAATTTTCTTCAGTATAAGAAATACTACAGGGACTGAAAAGAATGGATATTTTACATTCAGTGCATACACATTTTGGAATGAGCATAAAGTACTGTATTAAAAAAAAATAAATAAACTTACTATCTTTCTCTTGTCTCTCTCAAATACAGTTAATTATAAGGCTGCCCTGGCACACTTTTACTTTATTTTCCCTCTATGATTTAAAAGAGCATATCCATGCCCTTACAGTTACATGTATCAGTCTTTACAATCATTCTTGGCTGAGCTCATGGCTGGTTTGAGCAGATTATATATTTGTGAGTTGAGCAAGAACCACATGCTTGGCTTGAGCCCACACTGGCTCACCTACCTCTACAAGATACTTCATCTTTTGGACAGGTAAACAGCATAATGTGCACCAATATGAGTAATTAATTACAGTTAAGGTAACAACTCATTGCAGCAAATGCTTGACAAACATCAGTTAATGTTGTTTTCTTTGTAAAACACTCTTGCAAAAAAATTTGTATTTATGACACATATTTAAATTTAATGCCATCTACACACTGTTTGAACAATGAGTAGAAAAACTGTTTTGAATGTATGAACAATGCAAAGAATGTGGAAGATTACTAGCTATTTGACAATCAATATAACACACAATAGAACTATGTCCAAGTTCCAAGCCCAAAAGCAACTACTCTTACTTCATTTATTAAAAGACTATCTAACCAAAATAATACAATCAAATCATCTAGTTTGAAAATTGTATTGACAACATTTCAACCACAGACTGCCTCAGGAAGATGAAATAAACCAAGCTTTACCCCAAATTTCCAACCTGTTTACATACCGTATACTGCAGATGGTTTCCAAATTGCACCTCTAAACTAGTATTTGAAAAACTTGCATCCACTCATAATGTACAGACTGTGGGACCAAGTGTCATCAAACCTGGCAGGTACCTCTAGGGCTCACCATGGAGTAACATGGTGGTGGTGGAAGAGCCAACATTCAGATCTTACTTATATCTGGAGTTCTATGTCTTCCCCATTAGTTGAAAAGTTATGTCAACTGGTAATGAAATATTTGTGTTTTTGCACATCACAATACTCAGCATGATGAACTGACTAAGAAAATTGGAAGAAAGTATCTTTTTCTTTGTAAAATACATAGGAAACCCTTGCAGTATACTATTAGTGGGATTAACTGCAATATTAAAAGTATTTTTAAGTTTAATTTTTGTCTCATATCTCATAATGGATCCTGTTGTAAACACACAAGCAATCTGGCACATAAATAGTTAGAAAACTTGTGTTAAAAAATCCAGCAAGGTCCAAATGGTATATAATGTTCTATTGTTAAATGTACAGTTGAAAAAATATACAAATGATATTTATCTTGAGGTATTCTCTGAGTCATCAACTCTTCCATACAATAGATTATCACTGTTTGATATCTTAGCTTTTGTTAGTTTCATTTGTTTTGAATTTCATACAAAGCTACTCAGTGGCTACCTGTACTCGCTGTCCATAATTTAACAGTGATAGACTACAAAGAAGGCAGCTAGTCAACACCATCCACTGCTAACTCATGGGCTATTCTTTTACTAACAAATAGTGGGTTTGACTGTTACATTATAATAACTCCAGAGTTGAAAGAGCAAGCATGTTCTGTGACAGGGATTCAAACCTGCAGATTGTGAGTCAAATATCATAACCACCAGACCTTAATTATGGGTAATCACCATTTTTGAATAGTGAGTAAGACATTATCATGTGTTGAAAGATAGGGCAGGATTTTTAATTTATGGTTTTTAAGCAGGTAATTTTTGTCTGGTGTGTCAATAAATAAGAATTTTAACTATATTGACATAATACGACTTAACTATGTGTTAGTTATTTCAGATGGAATGTTTATTATTTTTATAGGCAACTTGGGAGAATGCCAAGAAACTTTACTGTATACACCTTATCTTGGATTGCAATTTGGAAGTGTGCATATATGCTAATAACTGGCTAAATTTTAGAATAACCATTTACTTTTTTCCACATTTATTCAAATCTAGCAAAACGCAATTTTCTTCAATATGACATAAATGGTAATTCTGTTTTAGCAATTATTTTGAGAAAATGAGTTGTTTTTGGAAAGCATTTAAAAACTTAAATAGCTCACTACATACCTACACTGACATGAAAGATATTTGATGCCTTTTCATATTTTATTTAGTGGAAGGCTGTACACCCTCAATTTCGTTAAGTTTACAAAATAAGGATTACAACAAAATATTTTACCTTATCATTTAAATTTCATCTGTCTAACACAGAATATGTAAGTTGGCTATTATGTATAATTTGGCAAGACTATTGATATAAAGTCAGTTTAAGCTGTCACAGTATATCCATTAACACTCTCGCTGTGGGCTCGGCCAAATCATCCGAGTTCAAGACCCCAAATTTACCTTTATAGTTTTCATACTATAAGTTCTAGTATGTTTTGTGTATCTTAATGAAATTTCGTAAACTTTCATTATGCATTACAAGTCCTTTGTAGACACAACATCAACATTTTTAATGAAGTATTTTTTCTAAAAATTTCTCCATGAATATATGTAGTCAAAGTTTGACTGCTCTGAGTGCAAAGTGATTTTCATATTAAGATTAAAATTACTTTTCTTCATCTCTTGATCTGCTGACATGTGCAAAAAATGATGCTCATATAAAAAGAGTTAATGATGGTTGACTCATTCTACTAACAAGGCATAATGCCAATAGAAAAAAGCTTAAATTAAAGGCCAATGTACGACTTCTAACTCATTAAAACTGAAGTTTTGTATATGAACAAGCCTTAGTACATCATTAAACAAGGTTATATTTTTTAATTCATTAAAAGATGAGATAATTTTCTAGATAGGTATTAGATTAATTATATATGCTACAAGTGGAAGTGTGAAAAAGCAACTATTTTGTAAAATGAATCTTAAAAACATTAAATGCTTACTCTTGTTTTTATAAGCAAACAAAAAATATAAAACCTGGTGTCATTTCTTACTTTTAACACCATAATGTTATGAACAAATACAAGATTTACAGTTCATAAAAAATAATAAATTTACATATTTATATAAAACTAATACCTTAAATTAGTTAGCTTACCCTTCTCTGATCACACCTATTAAGTTTCTCAGTGTATGAATTAACCCATTTATCAACAAAAATCTAGATGTACATTAAAAATGGTCATAAAACTGATTTTCTAAATGCTACCATATACATTCAGTAACTTTTGAAATAAAATACACAGAACTGAACCTTTCATACAATCAATTAATAAACCTAATTTTGAATAAACACCAACCTTTTTTTACAGATACTTTACCTAATTCTCCATGTCTAAGCAAGGCTCTATTCACCCTATTTGAGGATGCTTGTCCACTAAACTCCTGAAATAAAGGTATCAAAGAGAAGCATAAGTATACTTTTCACAAACAAACATGACTAATAAATGTGTTGAATGTAATTTTACAAAAACAGTAAATTGGAATTATTACTTATGGTTACTAGAGAGTAAAGACATGTGAAAAATAAGCACTTAGAATTTATTGTAATTTAAGGCCGAGATTAATATTCTAATTAACTTCTCATAAATATTTCATTTAATTTTGGTATATTTTGAGAATATGATAGATAACTTAAATTAATTTGCATAGCTTACATAATTTTTACTAAACTAATGTTACTATTAAACTAGTATCACTACAATAATAGATAGGCAAACATATTAAATACTATGTTTCGACAAAACATTGGTCTGAAGAAGACAGACCAATGTTCTGTTGAAACATGTGGTACATTCTATCATCATTAAAATTCTTCCTTATGCTTATAAATCATTGTTTGCATACCTGTTGTTATATTAGCATAATATGTTTCCTTACTCAAGTACTATTACTATAATTACACAATTATTTCTAATGATATGCAGTAAGTAGCAAGCCTTAATCTCCACTTCTTTATATTACAAATATGATCTCTTCTTTAGATAAAAAACAAGAAGCTGGGAGAAAAAATGACTGCAATCTCTTTACAGTGGTTTACAAGTTTCTACAACGTAATTTTCCCACAACAGTCAAACAAGGCATAATGTTCTTTAGGCCCACTTTAACTTCAAACTAAGCCTGGGTCTGTTCTAGAATAGACATAACAAATGTAGTGAATCACAGTGAAAAGTTAGCTTGGGTAATTCACAATATATAATGTGTGTGTTTATAAATTGGAAATATATCACAAAAAAAAATATACAAAAATAAACAGAAGATAGGATACAAAAAAAATGATAACACAGAGGGGAAAGATAAAAATGAAAGTGAAGAAAAGGAAGGAAATTAAAATCTAAATCTTTCATAATAGCTTACATTTTGTTGTAAGATTTGTTTTAGTTTTATTAGTAAGTAATAATTTATCACACAATTAGATACAAATTTAACTCCACACTTACCATCTACTCAGTTATAAGGATAAGTACAAATATGTCATGTATGTACACTGAGGAGTTACCAACTGTGTAAGTTTAGTACAGGTTATCATGATTTATTTTCGAAGTATACAGTTAGTTTGCATCTCATTTTGTTACATACAATATTACCGTGTTTTCAGTTATATGCATGTGGTTCTTTGATTTCTCCCAAGAGTGGTAAGATAAGTTTGGGCAGGAAATGTATTACATAATAAATCTGAACCTCACCAAGTTTAAGAATGAAAGAGACTCAACACAATGTTCTAAACAGTGAAACAATCTTTATTTGTTATTCACAAACACCATCAAGACATGTTTGCACAAAAATCAAGAGATAGCACCTTTATTGGAAAAAGTAAATTGTTAAGAAGTTCAGGTTTTAAACAAATCTAAATCTTGAGTTAAATTAAAACTGATCCCCCCCAGTTGTAAAGTCAAAATTCTACATCTCAAAAGCAGTAGTTATATCTCAACTGATCCAAACTGAGAAAACCTAGCATTATATGCACTAAACAACAATACTAGTTTTCCAAGGGCACATATGCTACCAATATGACCGTTGGTTATTCCCACTGAAACATAGGACAACTTGTACCAACAGGAAGACACAGTGGGAAAGACTCCTGTCTATCTTCACTCATAGTATTTTTACGCCTCCAGTCGTTACTTAATTTTCCGTAACTTCGTTCCGATGAAACTTTAGCGACACAAGTCCTTTCTCAATAAAACTGGTTTATTCTTTCCGAATACAACTTTACGATACACTTAATTTCAACAGTCGTGCTATAACAAACGCTATAACAACGAACGTGCTCAACTTCAACAATACTCTCTGATTGCAGTTCAATTACTCACTACCTACACACTGTCCCGTCACGTTGTGACCATCTTATATATACCAGACTACCCCCAATCTAGTAATCTCCCGAAGGTTCGAGAAAGAAGTGGTGTGATACTAGTCACGTGACCTCGCTGGCGCAACACTGCCCCCTTCTTAGTATTGTTTGTCCCGAACTATAGCCACTTACATTAAACCAATAATAATTAACAATAACTTAATTAAAATGTACAGAATTACAAACACAAAATTACAATTCAACAAAGTCTCTTAATTTTACAGGACGTATCTTCTTCCGTACTGGTCTCCGTCTCGTTGGCTTCTGCTTCATATGGGGTTCATCTGCTTCATCAGGAAATGTCCTATCGTCGATAATAGTCACATCAGTGGTAGTAACTTCACCAAGAGCTTCACCGTTTCCCTTCTCAAAACTGAGTAGAGTTTCTTCTTCTACGGTGGCTTCTTCAGGTGGCACGTCTTCAGCAGCGTCATTTGTTTCGTTGTCCACTTCGTCCCAACTGAAATGTCCTGAACCGTGATAACGCCAAAGCCTGTTGGCATGCACCACTTTTGGCTTACCTCGCCGACCACATTTTACCCGGAAAGTCACCTCTGAGAGACGATCCACTATGTCATATGGGCCTTCCCATGGAGAAGACAACTTAGGAGACTTCCCTTTGGTCTTCCTGGGATTATACAACCACACCTTGTCTCCTGGTTCAAAGCTGCCTTCAGTAAATCTCTTATCATAAGTTAACTTCATCGAATCAGCAGACGTTTTCAAGTTTAAACGCACTTGATGATGAATATCATCCATCCTTTCCAATAACACTTTCACAAACTCTGGCAACTCTTCATAAGGTGAGCTTCCTTTATGCTTGGGTCCCCTTTTTGCACTACATGTACTGCATGTCCTGCACCATTCTTCCACAGCTTGCCTCATACCTATCCAGTAAAATCTTTGTCGTAGGTGACTCAATGTTTTCTTAATTCCGACATGTCCTCCTGTTAAATTATCATGTGATTGACGCAGCACAACTTCCCGTAACTTCCTCGGTATAACTGTTTGCCAAGTCGTCACTTTCCCATCTCCGGACAAGAACACCATTTTCAAGCTTTAACTGGTCCCATTGTGCCCAATAGTGCTTTGTTACAGGGCTTAGACTAGACACCTTCTCCCAAGCAGGGCGCAAAACACTTGCTTTTAGGAAATCAATCACTGGCTTCAAATCTAGGTCTTTCTCCTGTTCTGCTTTGATATCTATATTTGGTTCCACTTCATCATCAACAACTTCTTTAGTCACTTTGACTAATTAGTTCAACCTCTCTTTTAACAGTTACCGGAACTTGGCCTTTGTTATTCCCAAACTTCATTTTATCAAAATCAATTACAAACTTCCTTGGTAGTAGATAGTCCAATCCTAATATGCATTCGTCTTTAATGTCAGCCAAGTATACTTTGTGTCTATCCTTTATGCCCGTGAGCTCAATAGTTACCCACAATGGTCCCCACAACCTTGCACAATGTTCCGTCACACCATAAAGCTTCCGTTATGCTTCTGGTACTCCTTCATGATCTAACACCTTGATGCTCACAAGGATTTGCTGAGACACAGAGACTATGACAAAGTTGTACCTTTGG